TTTTTTTTTTTACTCTCTATTTCAATCAAACAAATAGTTTAGCTAAAATTTATAAACAATCCTTATTTTATCACACTGACTTTAGAATAATTTATTAAAAATAATTAGATCTCTTGCATTTGAGGATTATATAAGATTTTAGAAAAGAAAATACAATGAAATGTCTGTATGATCAAATATTTAAAGATAAATATTAACTAGTGTTTACATTGATTAGGAAATTTAAAATAAAATATATATTTATTAATATATTGTTTTCCATAATTTTTAATCAGTATTTTAAAAACCAAATAGGAGTCTAGCTTTGACAAGTCTGTAGTGAGTAAAGGTTAATCTACATTTTCTGCACCAGTCTTAATCAACCCGAGTAGTGGTGCATATGAGTACTGTAACTTTGATAGTAAAAAAATAAAAAAGAAAGAAAAAATAGAGAAGAAAGAATCAAGTGTCCTTTCTTTATCGACCATTATCAAAACTTTATTTACCTTTTATCATTTTTGTTGAAAATAGGTAGACAGGTTAAAGAAGCAGTGCATATTCCCCGCTAGGAAATGTCTATTCTCAAAGCAATGTTCGTATTTGATTATTTATTTTTTTATTTTGGTATACAATGTCGATCCAATGCAATGCACTACTCTTCCAACGCTAAAGCAACCAATACACCACTTTCCATCGCCACTTATCATCAAAGTTCTTTATAGCCAATAGAATTTTGAAAACCTGGGCCTGTTTGAATTGAAATCCACTCAAAGAAAAATAAAATAGTGTGGACTGAATAAAATTTTATAGTATGTAAAATTACTAATAAATTACATTTTATTTTTTAACAAAACTATGTAAAAATGTTTACTATACGTTAGAAATTTTTTTAAAAGGTCATACATAAGCAGACAAGAAAGGATAGTTAATTTAAATTCAAAAATGAAAATTTAAATGAAATAACATGTATATTTTTTATTATTAATCACAAATAAATTTTACATTTAATAAGATATTTAAAAAACGATGCTTTCAAATTTGATGAAAAAAAATTATTAAATTCAAACTACAACATCATCAAAGTTAGATTATATATATCTTCTATTTGATAAAGTGCATTATCAAGTAGAGATTTTCATGCACTTTATGAACGTGTTCAAGTTTGAATGAGATTCTTGAATAAAAAATAAACAAAATAATACATGTTTTCTTATTAATAAGTTAAAAAAATAAATTATTTGAATTATGACATGTCACATTGAACATTAAAAAAAAAAGTTCAAAAATTCCATCATGTTTCCATTTGGGTACAAGGGTAAGTTGTTAATAATCTTGGGAAATTGCCTGTTTCTCATATGAACAATAAGCCATTCTTGTTTTGACTAAAGTAGGTGGTTCTTGAGGTTTAATTGTGTGTCTAACTTAGCCAGCATCATGCATCTACTATATATATATATATTTAATTTAGGCCTTCCACGTAGCAAACTCTAGCTTTAGATTGAATCATTTTATTGTGATCAGTTAAATGTTCTTCCTTGAAAACTTTACCATAGTATTCCACAATGGGAATGCTCGTTAGCAATGACAAGCTTCTTTTTCTATATACTTTTGTATTCGTCTTTAGGCTTTGCACGTATTACCTATGCTTTCACTCTCTTGTTAATTTTCCTAAAGTATCTTCGAGTTGTGTACACTTTCATTTGTGTAATGTTTATGGTCACGAAAGAAATCGCAAAGCTTGAACCTGTCTTTCTGGGATTTCTTCCTCAATGATTGAGGTCTCTCCCGCAACTCGATATTCACCGTTTCTTAAATATTTTGTTTGTTGAAGGTTTTGATTCTATATCATCGTCCCCTGTTGTTTTTGTGCTAAGACTTGTTTCCTCGATATGCAACATTGCATTCATTTTCTCAAAATATTCAAGGTAGTTTCACTTCTTAAAGTGCTTCCATAACTCTCTTATTATTTTTAGGCTCATCTTGACTAAAAGAAGGAGATTCTGTCTAGTTTAAATCCTCCAATTATCTCATGAAGAGGACCACTTTTGGGTCAAAATCCTTGTGTGAACTGAGTGATAAAACTTAAGAAGGATTCTTGTGGTCTTGATAATTCTACACAAGGTAATGGCATAACTTCAGTCACTCCTAGTAGTTAAGTGTAGCTGAAATTGTTGTGCCAATTTGTCCGTAAAATCAATTATAACAAAACATAGTTATTTTAAAATTATTAAGTATGATTAAAACACGTACCTAAATAAACTTTAACAACAAAATCTACTTATATTCATGAAATTGATTTGCATAATGATAAATATATATTAGTGTCTTACTAAAAAATAAATGTTATTAAAAAATTATTTTTAATATATTTAGAGTTTTTTAATAAATACCCTATATATCTTAATGTAGTATTTAATATTTTTAATTTATTAAATTTTAATGAATATCTTCAAAATACACTTATATAATTAGAGGGAGGAGATGCTATGGATGGGGCATGTGATGATGTCCCATGAAGCATAAGGAAAAGCATATTGATGGGGCTGACATACTATGTTAGCACTTAGCAGGTAGCAGCTGGGTTCCTTCCAGTTCCGACAGTGTGAGGTCCACGGCACAAACATTAACGTTAGCGTGGACCATCATCTGGACCCCACCTTCAATTTCTTCATTTCGGGCCACCATTTATTACCTCCTACTACACCTACAAGTGTCCTCCTCTACTAGATAAGGTTATAATAAAACCTATTTATTAAAAAATGAATGAAAACAATATTGATAAAAATTTGTTTTACCCAGTTGGTTTAACAAAATATAATTATCAATATTTTTTATGATACAAAATAAAAATAATTTTCGACACATTGATTGTTAAATTTTTTATTTTTAAATAAAAACAAAGAACTATTTTTATACATTAATTGTTAAATTTTTTATACAATTTATTATAAAATTCATAGACATCTATCTATGATTCATATAAATATATATATAGTATATAATTATTAATTTAGTCATTTAATATTAAAATACAACTTAAATTTATGATATATAATTATTTTCTATTAATGTTGATAAATTATTTATTTTTATAAAAGAAAAAAATAATAAATAATAAATTTTGTTTGAAGCTGTAACATTTAATGTTATTAGTGTATTAAATTTTTTACTAAAATCTTACTATATATAAAATATTAAAAATCATCGCATTCTCTTGCTTATTTTTAATTTTTAATTTTATAATGTAAATATTAAATAAAAAATTGTGCATTGAACTGTTATAGTGTTTAATTTTTTATTTAATAATTAAAAATGCATACAAATAAAAAAATTAGAACGATTAAAATATTCAAATTGTGGCATCAAATACACACTAAAAAATTAAGTAAAATAATTTATATCATTTGTATTAGGAGAAAATTTCTTTCACTAATAATCTTTAAAAATTATTGCATTAATAAAAAGAACAATTATAATTTTTTATATTTAAAAATATTTTTTAGATTTATAAATATAAAATTTGTATACGAAATAAAATAAAAATGATTCTCAGGATATATATTCGGGAATTAAAATACCAAAAAATCATTAAAAAAAAGAGATGTGAGTGTTAACCTGATGAGCTGAAGGCATGGCCCATCGTTTGCCTCATCCGTCAAACAATAATAATTAATAGAAAATACTCGATTTTGTAATATTATTATTAGGGGTATTCTGAGTCGTTATCAATCGTTTTGTTTTTATATGAAAACAATTTATCTCCATTTTCTATTTTATAATATTCACTGTCTAGAAATTTCCTCTCATTCATTTATGGAAAAGGACACTGATCTTTGTTTCACCAAAAAGGAGGAACACAGATTTTAAATATTTAATATTTTTTAATTTTGCATTATTATTAACACAATGAGTTGTGAATTTCATTTCGCAACAAACAATCTAACGGCTTAGAAGCACAATGTTACACGCGGCGTCATTTAAAAAGACATGTCAACGTCCAACTCAAAGAAGCGCCACATTCCCTGCCAAGTGCTAGGTGCTAAACTGCACTGTTATTATTAGCTCTAACCTTTTTTTCCTTAATAAAATGAATTCGACTGTGTTTTTCCCAAAATAGCCCGCCCCTCTTTCAATTCCTTGTTAGTTCTGCGGCACAGACACCGCTCATTCTGCAAACTGCAAAGCCACTACTCCAACACCAACGGGGGCTGTCTCATTCCATTCCTTTGTCCGCACCTTTATTTTAAAATCACATACTTCTCTCTCTCTCTCTCTCTCTTCCAGTGCCCCTACTTTCATAATTTTTAATTTCCATAAAAATATTTTTTAGTGTCTGTGAATAATGCTTTCAAATTTTTATATTTTAATATCCGTTTTTGCTAAAATATTGTAAAATTGATGATTGAAATTTTTTTTTGTCCTTCAGTTATACTCCACATATATATGCCAACAAGCTTCATAAACACGATATTGACATCGAACCAACTCCGAACCAAAAATGAGTTCATCCAGGGGCAGTTTGGTCAGAACAGACCCATTTGTCACAGGTTAAACACAGTCGAATGACGCAGATTGCCTGGGACGAGGGGCGTTATTATGACTAAATTACCCCTGAACTTATTTTGCTCCTGGACTGTCACTTGGGTGGAGTGAAAGATTCGCATTGCACAAAAAAAGGGGTGTTCTCGTCAAGGAAAAAGTCACGCTCTACATCCTCACCCAACGGAAAATGGTTTTGGATTTTCCCTATGGCCCATGCCCACCATCGTGAGCCTCCGAAAGGGTCCGCATCACGAGGCTTTCGCAAAAGGACGATGACATTTTCGGTAATTTTCCATTAGCTTAACGTGGCTTCGTGAGCCGAGATCAGGAGCAAAACCCGGTTCAAACCTGGACACGTTACAAACTCCGCCACGGCAGTTCTCGCAATCCGCCACGTAGGATTTACACGTGGCAGTTTCGTCCCATGTCATCGCGTCGTTGTTGCCATTATATAGTCCACGCTCTCTCATCTGCTCCTTATCCTCTCCTCTCGCCTTCTGCTGCACGAAAACCATAACCTCACGCAACCAAACACGCACCTCGATTTAAACTTCCACCGTCACCGGCGATAGACCCGTCTAAAATTCAATTGACTTGCCGGAAAATGGAGGTTCCGGCGATCGCTGGTGACATTGGGATCCAATTGACGTTTTATTTCGCTGCTTGTTTGGGAACTCTAACCGTATCTGGTGGTACAAACCCTAAGCAAAAGCAACTTTACTTGGCATAGTTTTCAAGTTATTCCATGCTTCATCTCGCAAACCCGAGGCAGATTATGACTATATAATAATAGGAAAAAAAGGAAAATCGAAGAGACTTGCTCTGGTTTCAGCGTCTTCAGTTTTGGCAGATCATTATTTTTTTTTCTTTTTAGGCTTTTGCCTTTTTGTGGAGTTTTCTGACTTTTCTTCGTCCTCAAATTTTGAAAACGAAGGCGGAGAATCGAGAAAAGGTGATTGTGCAGAACTTCAGAGGCAATTACTTTTACACAGTTCTGTCTTCTTTCTGACTTCGATTAAAAATTAAGCTCGAGATTCGGTAATGGAAAAGAACTGAAGAGTGTGAGATTCCGTCCTGAGCCATCGTCATCACCGTGATGCCTTTTCCGATGAAAATTCAACCAATCGATTCTCAGATACCTTCGGACGGGACTCGGCTTGAGCTGGTCAAGCCGGTTGTCAAGTCGCGATTGAAGCGGCTACTGGAGCGCCAGTTCTCCGGCGTTCTGAAAAATTCAGCGGTGGAAAAGATAACCGGTGGCGAGGATCCGCATTTAGGCAAGGATGTCGTCAACGACTCTGGTGACTTCGAGCCGAGCTCGGCGTGTTTGGCAAAAATGGTGCAGAATTTCATCGAGGAGAATCACGAGAAACACTCCGCTTCCGTTCGGTGTGGACGCAACCGCTATAACTGCTTCAATAGAAACTGCGACGATAGCTCCGACGAGGAGTCAGACGCACTTGGAGGTTTCAATGACTCCAACCATTCTTCCGGCGAGGTGTCTGAAATCCTCAAGGTAAACGTTGATTCGAGAATTCGTCTGCCAAAGCATTCCAAAATAACCAAAGAGAGAATGATTCTGAAACGCGTTTTTCTTTTTCCCCACAGGGTCTGGTAACTTGTTCGAGCATTTGTGAGAAGAATTTGCTAGCGGACACTACGAAGATCATTGAGAAGAATAAGATCTGCAAGCGCAAAGACAATTTCTGCCGAAAGATTGTCACGGACGAGTTGTTAGCGCTGGGATACGATGCTTCCGTTTGCAAATCTCGCTGGGAAAAATCGCCCTCTTATCCTGCCGGTACTTTCTCTCGCTAATTCTCTTACTTATCGGAGAAATTAATTTCGATTAGAAGTTAATCGCGTGAAATCAACATAACATTTTCTTACTTTAGGGATTTTGATGTATTGACATGATTTGGCGCAGGGGAATACGAATACATAGATGTTATGATGGGGAAAGAGCGAGTGCTAATTGACATTGACTTCAGGTCAGAATTCGAGATTGCTAGATCCACCAAGACGTATATTACGATTCTCCAGAACCTTCCCTACATATTCGTTGGAAAGTGTGATCGGTTGCAGAGTATCGTGGCCATCGTTTCGGAGGCAGCGAAGCAGAGTCTGAAGAAGAAGGGTATGCACGTTCCGCCATGGAGGAGAGTCGAATATGTGAAAGCAAAATGGCTCTCCCCTTACACGCGAACTTCTACTACACCCTGCTCACGTGAGATCGATGAGAAGAGCGAAGAGCAACAGCTTTTGGTGGAAAACTCTATCACTGCCGAGTCGGAGAGTTCCGGCGAAGACAACAAGGCGGTGATCGAGTGGAAGCCGCCGGAGCTGAAACCCAAGGGTCCTTTGAATGGGGTTAAGGTCGTGACCGGTTTGGCAGTGGTTTTTGACGATGATAACCCATAAAATTTTGACTTTTTTTTTCGGCTTTTTTTTTTCCTCTGTATTTTGCTAAAGTGAGGATTAAAAATCTTATATAACTGTAACAGTTCTATCCCCCTCTGTTTTTTCTTAACATACGGGATAGATTTTACTAATATCAATAAAATAAGTTGAAATATAGTAGTGATATGAATTGTTCATCAGATTGGTTTTTGAGTTCTTTTCTTTGTTTTAATTATATATCTGTGTTAGTTCTTAGTCTGGAGACAATCCTTTGATTCCGTTTGGGTTATATGCTTGAATCCTGGTTCGTCTCTTTTCTTCAGGAAGAAAAGATGTGAGGTGATGAAGAAATCTGCTGGGGTAGTGAGATGGTATTTCTCCAAATTCCTGTTTTTACGAAGTGCAAGTTGAATCATTGATCTATCTTGTGCTGCCGTACGGTTTTAAAAGAGAAAACTATATATAGCCGCGAAAAACATGACATGAAGTAATGCTTATAATCGTCCGTTGCCATGTTTGTTGCATACAATCACATTTACATATTGCAGCATCTCACGGTTGCCATGCTCTTAGACTTGTTGAAATTCAATTTAACAAGAAAGTGGAAATTTTTATTAAAATTTGCTGAAATTTTTTTTAAATTGTGTACTGTTATGTATTAACATTCGCTTGGAAAGAAGTATGGATAGAAAACAGTAATATTCAGAACTCCATTCCTTCTTTTGCTGGGAATTTGTAATCATACTATTGCTTGTTTGTTGCCTTGTTGCATAGTGAATGATGTTGGCCTCTGGAAACTACTGTTCCCACCGTTTACCACACCTTCTTTTGATCTTTTCCCTGTTCTTTTCTCATCAGTTCTATTTTAAACACTGTTTTCAAACGGAAACAGGCTCTTTGCGAACCTGCGGGATTAAACTGGTTTTGTCGTTTCCTCCCCTCGTACCAAATCTAGTGGATCCACGTAGTATCTCCAGAAGAATCGAATCGCACTCAACTTTTCATTTATTTAATAATTATGTTTTTTTACTCTATACCTGCCTGACTATAATTCTTATAATTGCAGGTAATCCTGTGCCTGTGTAATTTAGTCGCGTAATAATCAACCTACTTATTAATTAATTTCAGATGTAGCAGATAAACATACATCTTTGTCATAAAAAGAATAAAAAGCTTTTTTTTTTCAAAATAAAAGATAGGTGTACTAACTCTTTGACACGCGATAGTTTTCACAATTCGTACTATCCATTTCTCTCTCTCTCTCTCTCATTATTATTATATCAAAATCACCTAAAGAAGTTTTAAAAGTGAAGCATTTAGATAAATTTCTATATGGGTCATAAGTACAATTATAGAGTCTGTTGGAGGTGACTGCCCCTCTATTATTTTAAGAATCATTAATTGCTTTCGGAAAGTAACGTCTCAACGACTCTCTTCAACCCATTTTTTCTCTAATTTTTTCATGTGGCTTCCCACTATTAGAGAATATAAGTACATTTTGCTAATATGTATTTAAGTTCGTATTGTATTATCTCATTTATATTTAGACATAATTTATGACGTCATCTTAATTTCATTAACTATTCTCTGATAATTGTCTTAGAAAATCTTGCCGTACCTGTCAGTCCTTTTTCATGGTAAATATTTTTTTTTACATAATATAAACGAAATTAGGGATACTTTGATAAATGTTAGTAATGCTGTTTACTAAGTTTTATTTTAATATAAAAATATATCTGATATTATTGCATATTATTAAGTAAAATTATGACTATAATTAATAAATAACACTTAAAAATCGTAGTTAAATTTTATCCATAGAATAATCTTGTGTAAAATAAATAAAAGATTATATTTTAAAATATAATAAAATGATGAAATTAAAAATTTATCTCAACAATCCTTTTACATACATAAATCTAATAATTAAATCTAACACTTAACACTACATTATCATTACAAGGTTTGATGTTTTTCATCAACCTTTTTTATTTAAACTAATCGATCTGTAGGCATAAATATCTCAAGTTCAGTTAATCATGATTAAGTAAAATAAATCCTCGTTGAATTAGGTAGCTTACAAATGTGACTGTCTTGATGCAATTGGAATTGACTACCTTTTGCACCAAACAGAAAAGATAAATTGGCTTTTATTTTTGTTCAGTTTTTACAAAATAAAATAATATTCTTTAACATCCGTCCACTCTTATCAGATTGCTAAGGCATTTATCACTTGGGAAACAAATCATCCCAACCCAACAAATTTCTGTGAAAACTCAAAAAAAAAATTGATTAACTCATAAGAAAACTCCTTTGAAAAGATAATATATGTAATGAACAAAAAAACAGTTGCAATGAATGCAAGTCATTCGAGACGGTTAATTAACTATGAAAAAACAAGTTTCATAAAAATCTATTATTTAAATAATAAATTCTTAATATGAAAATCTTTGGACATTAGGTTGATGAATTTAATCACTCAGAGATCGTTCTCTTATCATTAATTTATCAACAACCACTTAAAATTTCCAACTCCTCAAACCATAATATTTGTCTTAGTACTAAAATTTTGGATGTGATAATTATTTGTTGGTGCTATTGTTGGAAGTAGTCAAGTGTTTTTAGAAATTTCTTTTATCCTAGCTAAAAAAAATGAAAGATAATATTTAGTTCAATTTTTTTATTTACTGAAAAATAGCCATATATTGTTTCAAATGGATAATTTTGCAATTGTAAGCATGAGCATTGAATTCATAGCAACTTTTGCTATTGCAATGCTGAAGGCATGAAACAGTGCTTTTCTATATTTTCTTAATGACTGTTACATTGAGATTTGCGAAGCCGGAGGCAGTAAGATAGAAAGACGAGCCAAAAGAATAATGTGCCACTTAATCAATTGACACCTTTTAGTTTTATAAAATATTTTCTTAATGATTTATTTATTCTATGTAAATGGCACAAATTAAGCTTTATTAATAACGTACTTTTAATTTGAGGTTAAAAGAAAAAAATACGCATTTTTTATTTATTTTATAATTTTTTAATTGACCAAAAATGTGTAAATTTGTACAAAATAAATAAATCATTATTTTAATAAAAATTAAAATATCAGAGTTAATTATTAAATTACATGATATCATCTAGGTATATACCCGTGTGAAATTTAAACAAAAAAAAAACTCTTATTCTAAATTATGTTATATGTCTATTAAAAAAAATTCACTATAACAAACAAAATTGGTTAAAATAATATTTATTAGTATAATATTTGTTATAAAAATATTTTAATTGTTACGTATTTTTAAAATTTATATTAACATTTAATATTTTAGCATTATATATTATTAGTTTTATTTTAATATAATCATAGTTTAATTTGTATTAGAAAATATATACTAACAATGACTAATCTAACAATAAAATATTAGTAAATAATTTATTTTATCTAATAGTTAAAATAAACATTGCGGTAAAGTGTTAATTATATAAAAAATTTAAAATTTAATGTATGTTGTGAATAATCTTAATGCAATAATTAGGAAAACAAAATTTATCACAGGTAAAAAAAAATACTTTTACTTTATTCTACCGAATAACTTAGAAGGACCGAAGGAAGTATATCAAATATACTCTAATTAATAATTTATTATGAATATTAAACTTCATTAATCTATTCATTGCATTATTAAAAGTTTACATTGAATAGATTAAGCAAAATAAAATTTTATATAATTTTTAAATTAACATCTGTCAGGATATTTTAAACATAATATATATATATATATTAAAAATATAATTAAGTATTAATTATAGTATTTAATTTATGCATAAGTTAATGCATAAGACTGTTGATATAATATATTATGATTTAACAGTTATATGTATTATTATTATTTAAACAAATTGATTATAAAAGTTAATTTAAAAAGTAAGTACATTTCTTATTATCCGAGAGAAAACCATTTTTTGTGTGTGAATAAAAAATACATATGAATTATTAAATTTTCCTCAAAATCATAGAAAATTGTATAATTTTCCAGCTCTTATATAATAAATAGTCTGTTCATTATATAAATTCTCTTTAAAATGAAGGTCGATTTGGTTTGGGCTCAAAGCTATGTATAAAAATGAAGGTCACTGAAAATATTTAATATATTTGAATAACATCACATGTTTCATGAACTAAAGAAAAGTATAAAATAGAGCATAGAAACGTGATTTGCATAAACAAAGCTGAATGGGGTACGCATGAATTTTGTTAAGAATGTGGGTTTCCTTAAAGCTTGTCAGGTATTTTTTTCTGCCATCTAAAAGAGATCTCATTTGAACAATTGAACTTGCCGCGCCTAATGGCTATGGCCTTGGAATTTGTTCACCTTTTCTGAAGGCCAAACTAGCATGGTGCCACTGCTTGCACCACAAATCAATCATTTTTTTCAAACTCTTCACTTTAATTCGATTCTCTTTCTCCCTTTGGCAATTTCTGTTCTGATTTATGCTTTGCTTTTTGGTGTTATGGCTTTGTCCCCACTCCACAAAAGACTATAAAAGTACATCATGTCTAGAACTCATATTCCTTAATTTCACCAGGGAGAAACGTTTTTACCATGTCTCCACCTTTTTAACTTGTTTATGTTATTTATATGTGAACCCGTGCATGCACTCATTATACCGGTTGAAATGGGGACCATAATAGGCAAGCAGAGACCTAACCTAATCTAGAGCAGGGTGGGTGAGACTGCTACTTACTGTTTCAATTTGAAGTTCATTTTAGAAGAAAGAAAAAAGAAAAAAGAAGCATAAAGATAAACATATAAAATGGAGGGGAAGGGTTGGTTCCCGTGAATTGAAATATTATAAGTTTGTGTCGGTGCAAAAGACACACGAGAGTAGCGTTTCGTGCTCTTTGCTTGATGATGATTGATCAACACTTACACACCACACACCATGTTGTTTGTTTTCTGCTTCCTCTGCTTCTGTACTTCTGTTCAAATATATTTTCATTGAATGTCTAAATATTTTACATAAAGTTTACAAAGAAAAATAAAAATGTCTAATATATTATAGACAATATTATCTTAACTAGATAAAAATTATTTTATTGTAAATTTATATCAATTTCTGATGACTTTCAAACATAAATTATTATAGACAATATTTTAAAAATATTATTTCTTATCTTTAATGAAATTCAAAATCAATTAATATATTAATATTTTAAAAATATTATTAAACTAAAAATAATTATTACAAGTATATAAATTGACAACATATTAATATATCACCTTTCATATATAATAAAAAAATATGTATAATCACATAATTTGTTCTTAACTGTCTAAACTATAAAATTAAAAAATTTTAGCGTCAATTATATTAATTTGGTATTATAAAAAAATAAATAATGACTTTTTACACAAGTGATATAATTTATAATGATATTTACTGATTTAGTGTAAATTTAATATAAGTCATAGTTCGAGTATAATATATACGTTTCAGCTTTAACTTTTGTCCAAATTGTATTTTTATTAACGACTTTATAATAATAATAATAATAGAAGCTTTGTATACGACTTTCGTTATAATTAATCTTTTTATTTGTTAAATGCAAACAATAATAATAGTATAGTTGATGTTAATAATGATAAAATATATTGCTTTTCTTATTAAAATAATAGTAAGTGTTATTGCAACATTTATTATATATTACCTTAATTATTAATTTTTTAAGAAAACTATCAAATTAGTTTATTAAAAATATAATAAATTATTATGATAATTAATTTACCAGTAAATTAAATAAAAAATTAATTATAATAGATATTATATATCATATATATATAGCAAAAGTCGTTAATTAAAAGTACCACTAGCAAAAAGTTAAAGCTAAGTACACTAATTTTCTAAAAAGGAATAAAATAAAACATAGATTAAATCCGTAAATATCATTACAATTTATATAATTTATATAAAAAAGTCCAAATAAATTAATAAATAATTATTAAAGAATATATAAATAATTGGTTATCTATTAATATCATTGCATATGTGAATTATTTATGAATAGGCATATTATAATAACAAAGAAGATAATTATTTTAATCTTGCCAATGAAATTAAATTGTTATTTTTAAAACTTTAATAAATAATTGCCAAATACTCCTTATATTGGGCCTTGTATGGACCAGATTCTTAGATTAATTTTTGTTCTAAGATTAATGGGCAGGATTTAATAGTCTAGCCCAAGATTTTATTGATTCATCGAGGCCTATCCCATACTGGGCCGGAAGAGTTTTTTAAAGATTTTTGGGATTAAATTTACCTTACCAGATTTATCCTCAGATTATAAAATAAACAAATAATGGTCAAACACATTTGAGATGATTTTTATCAAATAAAAAATAATAATTTATTAAGTTAATAAACAATATGCTAAAATATAATAAAAAAAAAATAAATTTATATATTTATTGTTTATATTTTTAAAATAAGGACGGGTCTTGCTGGATACACAACGACGAGACCCGAGTTTTGTGAGTTTGCTTCCATTTTCATGATTCTTAACGTACCCCCATCTGGAGGATTTCCCTCAGATCCCAACTCTGTGACATTCACTATGAACAACACCATTGCCATTCCCATTCCCATTTCTTCAACCCTCCAAATGCATTATGGAGACTCAGCTTATGCTTCTTCTTCTACTCTTTCTCTGCATCTCTCCGACTCCTTCCTTCTCCATCCACAATTTCCATCAAGCGTTAGTAACTTTTATTATTTGTTCAACACGCCTTCGACTTCATTCTCCTAATTCCACTATCTCGTTGCAATACGTTCACTGTTTTCCTCACTCACTCATTCGTTATGTGTATAACTAGTGTAACATTGTACTGTGTATATATTTCTATTTATTTGAACGTCGTGCACAATATTTTGAGATCGAGACATATTTATTGAGTTGTGGGAATTGTGATCATTTTTTGTTGTTGTTGTTGCTGCTTCTATTATACTTATTATTCTATTCTTACGCACGGTTTTAGTGACCTGGCTCTGAACTCTGAAGTGTATTTTACTTGTTGGTTTCAAGTTGGTGTAAGTTTCCCTTATTAATAGTCCAATTTCTGTGTGTGCAGCTTTCCCATTGTAGAGCCTGATCCTGGTCATACAAAACTTCGTCTTTCAAGAGAAGGTTTGGAGGCTATTGAGAGGATAACGAACCCCATTGCATCAGTGGCAGTATGTTTGACTGCAAATTAATGTTGTGTTATTTGTAATTTTGGATTTTACCTGATGTTTTCAGTATGAATTTTCATGAAGTCATGAACTATGGGATGGTCTGATTCGTGATGGAGGGATTAGCTGATATTTTGTTGATTAACGTTATCCATGTTGACAATTTGTTTTGTGTGTTTTTTGTTGAATGCTGATTGCTGTATGAGCACTTGCTCTTATTTGTTTGTTCTAACACTTTATAGGCAGCTGCATGCCAGCGGTTGATTCAAATTGTAACATGAATGTAAAGTTAAAAGGCGTTTAAAATCTTGCATGTGATACACAGCGTGACAATATAAACATATTTGAATGGATTGGTCTTTTATGAAACGTTACTCTTCTTTTCTTTCAGTTTTTCCTCTTCTTATTGTATCTTTTTGTCCTTTCTTGAATTGTTTCTATGTATTGTGGTTTTACTATAACAACCTATATTATTGGTAACCCTTTTTGAATATTACTTTGATTACTTTGATTAGTGTTTCATAAGGAAGTAAAATTGGGCAGTATTGAAGAAATGTTGTTAGTTTATTGTTTACCCGTCATAGGCTTGGCTTTTGTCATTTATGGTTGTTTTTTTGTCAGGTGATTGGGCCGTATCGTTCTGGAAAATCTTTTTTGCTTAATCAACTCCTCTCTCTTTCTTGTGATGAAGGTGTATATTTTATAGCTACTAGAGTTTACCCTTATTATCCACATTTTAAGATTTATTTTGGGCGTACTTGTTTGAAAGGCTCACTGTGAAATGTATTTTTTTTTTTTTTTAAGGGTTTGGTGTTGGGCACATGCGTGACACCAAAACAAAAGGTACATGGGGATTGACATTATTCTTATGGATATGCTCAATTGGTTTTAGCTATAATATTTTACTATCTATTTTTCTTTTTAATCTTTTGGTTCACATCTTCAGGAATATGGGTATGGGGAACACCTATAGAGTTGGATATTGATGGAGTAAGAACATCTGTCTTTTACCTAGATACAGAAGGATTTGAAAGTGTTGGGAAGTCCAGTGTATATGACGATCGGTAATTGCTTTCTGATCATGCATTGTGTGTTCTGGGTTGAATGCTTGAATTGTATATAATTTTTGTGTTTGCTTCTGCAGGATATTTGCTCTGGCAACTGTCTTGAGTTCTGTTCTCATATATAATTTGCCTGAGACGGTTAGTTATTGTATTTGTCCTCTCTCTCAATTTCTTGTTCATTGCTGTTGTTTATCTTGTTGTCATGTTAAATGGGCAAAAGAACAAATTCCTTCATTTGGAGTTTGACAAGTGTTGACTGCTGAGTATAATGTTGGTGGTAATTTATTAGAATTGATGGGGATTTAGTTCACTTTAGAAGAAAAAGCAAGGAGTTTATTTGTTTATAAGAAAATTAAGGGAATAAATTTACATAACTTCATAATTTGTATTGAATTTAGAAGGGGAGATTTAAGATAGAGTTACTAATTGGAGAAGAGAATATTTTAGAGAGCTATAATGAACAAAGAGCTATTGAGGACTATGTTTTAGATATGATGAAAGTTTTTGCACGATCATGTGGGTAAGAACAAGCAACTTCAAGTCACGCCAATGGAGGAATGTTCAGAGGAAAGTGGGTGCTGGGTTGCTGTAGGGTTTTTCTTTTCTTGAAATTTATCTGGAGGACTAGTTGACACTTCATTCTTTTTTGGGTGTGTGTGTGTGTGGGGGGGGGGACACTTGGACCAAAATATCAATAGTTGGTTAGTCAGAATGGACTCTGTAAGTTGACAACTGTATCAACATCTGGTTAATTAGTTAGAACAGTGGACACTATATAAAGAATAGGAGGGAAATAAAAGAGGGTTTAGACTTGGAATAGAAATTTGGGGAGATAGAGAGCCAGGTCTCTCCAATACCGGAAACAGAAGGAGGAAGGGCTGATTCTGCAATAAATTCTATCTGGTCACCCTACAGTAAACAAATGTTGGATTACCTCTTGGCTTTGGTCCAATATGCACAGATCAATTTTCTTTAATCAATTTCAATTTACTTGGTAGAGACTGAATAATCTTGAAGTTCTCAACCAGCATATCTCATTATAATTATTTTCTTGGCCAAATTTTTGTGTATTCAGATACGTGAAGCTGATATCTCCCGACTCTCTTTTGCGGTTGAACTTGCTGAAGAATTTTATGGAAGGTTTGGATCTTTATGAACTTTTTTATCAATACTGGTTTGAATTATCGATATTGCTCATCCTGTCCTTTTAACATGCCTTTAAAATCCTCTCTTTTTGGGGATAAACTATGGTTACTAACTTGTTTGTTTAATTTGCAAATTATGCACATCCTAAATTTGCGACTGCGGTATGTTGAGCAGAGTGAAGGTAAGCTGGTGGCCTTAATAGTGCCACCATTGATCTAATCTTTCTTTCTATTATTTATAAACATTTTCTTATGTAAAATTTGTCATTGATAATTGATTTTTGTTTGAATTTCAAATATTTTATAGGGTCAAGATGTTGCATTTGAACCTGCTAAGCTTTTATGGCTCATCCAACGTGATTTTCTGCGTATGTTAGTAAATATTTTCCTTGCTTGTCATCCATTTTCCCTGCCTCCCGCCTACCATCCCATTAAATGTTTTGGTCACTGATGAATTCTAGGCTTTGCATCTCTTACTGCTGCACTTGCCCATTATTATAGATATAATAAAATCATTCACAAGTTCTCACCTAATGAATTAAGCTTTAGGATGTTTGGTTCTTGATGTGATATTAGGTCCTCTAAAATTAAGTGATAAAAAAATTGATCCTTGCAGTCCATTCTTCTAAGTTGAATTTCAACATATGGTCAGATAGGTTTGTGCATTGACCATGCTTCAAGGCCAAAGTGCTCTTGCATGAGCCGGCCAGTTAGTTGTCCTTGACATCTATCATGTTCACTTTATTGGATGCTGTCATTTTCCTTAATTGTATGCAGAAGGAAAATCGGTGCAACAAATGGTGACTGAAGCTCTTAGACGAGTCCCGAATACTGATGGTTAGTACCATTTCTTGCATCTGTGGATAAAATTTAGGACAAAACTTTAGTGCGGCTCCTCATATACCTTTGGTGCTGTTTTTTTAATTAAAATTAGAGTTTCTCCTCAGTTATCTGTGAAAACTTTAAATGCCAGCCTTTTACCAAGGCGTAACAATAATTTTTATTGAAAAACAAAATCAAAAGTACTTAATGAACTGTAGCCAAGTTTTGTTCTAAAGTTTACCTTTTAAACAGTATGATTTTCCATTTGTTTTAAAGCAAATGATCTGATGGAAGGCTTTGTTTACTATTTAATTGCAGGGGACAAAAATATTGAAATGGTATTTATCTTCTGGAATTCAATTAGCAATTATCAGTAGAGTATTGATAATCTGGAATTGAATATTTTTTAATACTAAAGGTTAACTTCGTCAGATCAATCACATTCGGGACTCCTTGGCTATTATGGGTGACGACAGCACTGCCTTTAGCTTACCACAAGTATGTCTGATCCCTTATTTCAAAATTTCTATTATTCCTTATCCTGTCAACCATTATCTGGGTTTCTTTTTCCAGATTTCAGTTATATGGTTCTTTGAGTTTAAATAAAATGATAGGAAAATGGAACTTATACATTGATTTCCACAGAAGAGTGCATGATTTTTAACTGTCATTGTAGCAAATCCTCTTGTCATCATCTATATGGCAAAGACCAGTGACGTTTCTTAGTTATCTGACATTAGCATGTTGCCTGAGAGGTTTTCTTCATACCATCACAGCAAAAGTCTTCTGTATTCTGCTGGAGGACAAATTAATGACTGTTCATTCCACTGTCAAGATTTGGGATTAGAAGCTAGAAATTGGAAATGGTGGTCCTCTTAGTGCCTAAACCTGGCTTGCATTTAATAATAATCCACCATAAATTATGGTTAATTAGTTTTCATATTTTATACGTGCTAGTATAGGTACATACCCATTTTCCTTCCCCATTGTGTTGCTTCTTTCTTACTGCTGCTCAGTTCTAAACTGTATTCGAGAAACACCAATGGTGGGTTAAGGCATTTGAGTTATTTGTTTGTATGGTCATTTAACTCTATTAAGCTTTTCATATAATTGGAAATATTTCTTGATAGAAAGTCTTGTAATATTAGAATGTAGTCTTTGATTTTTATTAAAACCATTGCTTTTGTTGATCTAACTGATTGTTGAAATTGGACCTTAACAGCCACATCTCCAGCGGACAAAGCTTTGTGATATGAAGGATGTTGAGCTTGATCAATTATATGTCAAAAGAAGGGAGCAATTGAAAGAGCTTGTTGCTAGCATTGTCTCTCCAAAGATTGTACAGGGAAAGACTCTAAATGGGAAGGAGTTTGTCTCCTTCCTGGAACAGGTACTTAGTTTTGGGTGTTCCTATTAAAGGAGGAAAATCATAATTAGGTGTGGAGTAAAACATTGAAACAATTTTCCACAGAGTGATACGTGTTTCTTTAACTAATAATCCATGGAGAACCTTTACAGAAAACTCTGCATGTTCCCTGATCTCATAATTATTGTTCAATAAAATCAGCAGACCAATCAAGCAGGACAACATATGGCTGAATCTTATACAGTGCTTTACTTCTCTTCATGTCGTTTATCTCATTGTTGGTTTTCTTTTTGAAAAGATTAAAATTGGTTGTGGAGCAGTTTTACTTTTGGTTTTAAGTTTTTGTGGAGACATAATGGAATGACAAATAATGTAAATAGTTAAAACTGAATTTTTAATTTGTCTTCTGCAATTATTATTATCATCATTGGTGAGAGTAGAATTTATTTGTTCCTAGTAATACTTTAACTTCGACACTAAACAGGGGAGCTCATAATTTTACTTTTTTCAATTTCTCTTGTAATAAAATTCTTATTTTGTGAATATTTTGCTATTGTTGGCTCTAATATAGTTAGATTGAGGCTACTGAATGCACAATTGAAATATGATAATGCTTTGGATGTGACTTCAGTCTGTGCATCTCCATCGCACCCTTTTGATTTTGACATTTCAAATTTAGATACTTGAAGCCTTGAACAAAGGAGAGATTCCATCAACAGGCTCTCTTGTCGACGTTTTCAACAAGGGTATTCTTGAGCAATGTCTTAAGTTATACAGTGAAAAGATGGCAACATTGGATCTACCTCTTTCAGAGGAATCTCTGCAAGAGACCCATGATAGGTCTAGGGATGAAGTCATGCACGGCTTTGATCGGCAGCATTTTGGCCGTCACCATGCTAAGAAATCAATTATGCAACTGGATGAAGAAATACAGAGGGTATTGTTTGAAATATTTTAGTTGATTTCAAGCTCAAAATATCATTGACTTATTGTGTATTCAGTTGGCATCTAAATTTATACTACCAAAAGCTAGTTCAATGATTTTCTTATGAAATATATTTTTATGATTTTAGTTTTAAACTACCAAGGTTCTTTGCAAACTTAAATAAATTCCCATACCATGGTATTTGATATGTTTGGAAGATCCTGTGTATGATTTTTTATCCTGTTTGAGAATCATGTCTGACTAGAGAATACCATTGACCTTGTGGCTGATTGGGTCATACCATTGAGTGTACAGTGGGTACGTCAGAAGAGTGAAATCAATAGCATAAGTTTTGAAGGTTATGTACATCTTAAGCTTCTATACATCAATGTCTGATGATATCTGCATTATATTCGTGGATTTGGTCATTTTTGCTCTGCACTCCTTTGGTCTTGGAATTTGAATATGATGATTTGAACCTAAAGTTTGTTGGGGAAACTGATGCAGGTGTATAAGAATGTTGTTTTGCAAAACGAGTATCAATCTTCAAAGCTCTGCGAAGCACTGTACATCAGATGTGAAGACAAAATGGATCAGCTTCAAGTGCTGAGACTTCCTTCCTTGGCAAAATTTGATGCAGGTTTCCTTCAATGCAATCGTAGTTTTGAGCATGAATGTGTTGGACCTTCAAAAACAAATTATGAACAACGCATGATGAAGGTCTAATACAATAACAGTGGTTTGCCTTTTGTAATCTATTACCTGTGGGACATACACTTTGTTATTACTATCTCTTTGTGTTTACGTGAAAGTTGGAGTTCACAGGGCCTCAGCTCAGTACATAAAAATGATTTTATACTGTGTCTCTGAGTATCTCTATTCTTGTGGATATGTAACAGTAATCCTTATATATTCCAAATTAACTTTTGTTTTTGCTGTACAGTGCAGTTATTTAAATTTTCACATGAAAAATTGAATTTCCTAATTCTTCATGAAGTATTATGCTACTTCATGATTTTTCCTGAATTGAAACTGGTTCAAATGCTTATTGTGCGTTGGTGTAACAAATGGATATGCAGATGTTGGGGAAGTCCCGATCTCTATTTATAAAGGAGTACAACCACAGGCTTTTCAATTGGTTGGTGGCCTTCTCCCTGATTATGGTAGTGATTGGCCGCTTTATTATAAAATTCATTTTGATTGAAATTGGAGCATGGGCACTCTTTATATTTTTGGAGACATACACAAGGATGTTTTGGTCAGCAGAATCACTTTACTATAACCCTGTTTGGCATTTTATAGTTACCACTTGGGAAACTCTTGTTTACAGCCCGATCTTGGATCTTGACAGGTAATTTGAACTTTTTCCTATGGCAACTTCGAACTGAATTTAAGATTATTAAAACCTTTGCATCAGTTGCTTTTGAAATGCATTTTACATATGATTGTTTGGGTGGTATTAGTACAGTTGATGTTGAACTTCTACAATTTGATTCTTGTATCTCACATAATGACTTATTGAAAACGTTAATGGCCAAGTAAAACCAAGGGGTGACCAACATGTGAATGCGCTTGTTTTCGTGTTTTTCTTGTCTAAATTCCACCTTGTTTCCATTTTATGTTTAATATTCATGTTTATTCTTGTTGAAATTCTGAGTGCAATCGGTCCCATATTTCTTCATAACCATGGTCAGTTGTCACTTAGTTATGAATAATTATGAGAATGTACTGAATTCGGATATTTTCATATTGTAATATAATAATTTTGGTGACGAAAACAGATGGGCTATTCCTCTCGGTGTAATGCTGTCATTATTTATTCTTTATTGGCGGTGTTATGGGAAAGGGAAATATGGATCCCACTCGTGGCTATTACCTTTATACAGGAGCAATAACAATGGTCCTAATCGACCACGAACAGACTAATTCGTGACGATGATTGCAATTGCAGACATGTTTCATGAATTTGCATACCGCTCAGCAATTCATCCTGTATGGCGAGTTTTTTTATTTTTTGTACACGGAGCTTGCTTGCCTCATTTTCATCTTAAAAAAAGGTTCTTATTCAGAGTGTAAATAGGAACAGGTTTCAAAAACACAAGAAAAAAAGGTGAACAGTGGGTTATTGACGTGTTCAGTAGCTTCTACCACTTTAGGTCCTCCAACATGTTATCTGTTGCCAGAATGGCACTGTATATTGATTTACTTGTGTATTATTTTATACTATGATAGAACTTACATGCAATTCTGTAGGTGTCGTTTGTGCTATTTATTAATTAAAATATGTAACTCATAATAAACTATTTTTAACAAAAATACAACTTTTTGAACATTAAAAAATCCCATAACAAAAATTACAGAATCAGTAGTTAACCCATAATTGAAAAAAGAGGCAACTTTACTACTGCACATTTCTGTCTATATTCAATCGAAAATGAATTACCTGAAGGAACAGGAGCAACGAGATGAATCTAATGATCGTTCTCTCTTTGTTGAAGCACGGAAGTGTCATGCTGTTGTTGGACATGTTTTTGAGATTAATATTTTTTGGACATTTCTCATTACATGTCTACTTTAAAAATTATTTTTTGTCGGCTCAGATATATAAGATGACTCTTTAATATAGACATACAGAATATAATTTTTTTTAACTTTTAAAAAATTTGGGTTAAAATATAATGTAATATATCAACAAAATAATGCTTTGGTTGAAAAATAAGTGCAACATGGGTTCAATACTTGAACGTCATACAATTTTCATTTTTACCTTCGGTTTTAAGTAGTGGGCATGCATATAATCTTGTATATTGGATGCTCTATTTTCACATAATGAGAAATGAGCCCTTACGGATAACAAGCTTAAACAAAGAAAGGGCACTCCTATTCTCGCGACAGTTTATAGGTAAAGAAAAATGGAATAGCATTATACTTTTTTAAAATACATTGTTTAACATACTTCTTGGGATTGGTAATTTTCAAAAGTCAATTCTTAAAAATATCAATTTACAAGGCAAGTATTAACGGTTTAATTGACCAATTATATAAAGTATATTTAAAAATATTTAAGAATGTGTTGGTAACTTTTTTTGACCAATTACATTTTGCCACCTATTTCATTTGGTTTTGTAATAAAAAGTGCTATAAATAATAATAAAAAAGTTGCAATAAATTTCTGAATTTTCTAAATATCATTGTTTTGTGTGAACTTTTGTGATTAGTACTTCCACACGCAGCCAGATAATTTCTTTATTCTGTGAAATTAAAAAGAAAATATATAAATATACATTTTTTTATTCACTGGTTCTTCAGAATTTGGCATCGAAAGAAAGCTAATGATTGAATACTTTAATCAGGAGGAATGCATTTATATCTATATTAATTAAATTTCACCTTGGGTGCAAACAGTTTCTTTTGGGCACAAAATCTATCCAATTTAAGCAATGTAATTGAATTCATTTTATTATCGACATGTTGTAGAATTTTAAAAATTTCCTCTTTTATATTTACCTTTTCAAATTTATTTAATTAGTTGGATATTTTCGTTGTGTATTTAAATATTCATTATGAGACTGTAGATAAATAATTTAAAAGGTTAATAAATTATTATATAATTTAATTTGAAGTGCCATTTATATTCGTACAATACGATTGTAACAAACTTTTATAAGCAGTAAATAAAAAGATAAATAGAATTCTGATAAAAGACACGCATTTAATAATTTTAAATTTTCATTATTCACTGTGTTTGAGTATTCTAATATCATATTGTGCCTTTTTTTTAAGAAAAAAACTCATCTTAAATTATTCATATAATATAATATATATGTTCACAATTTGTTATATATATTTTGATAAAAACGTTTACTCTTTTTCAATTTTTTATTTTTAAAAGTACTTGTATAAAAAAAAAAAACGTAACTTTAATGTAATTTAGCATAATTTTTTTTTTATATTTATGAACTGTTAATATTATTTTATTATTTTTTATCAATAAAAAATACAAATTTTCTTACTATTAATTGACAAACAAAAATATAAATTCTTATTTTTACAATATTTGGATCAATAAAATTGTAAAATTTGGTTTGACACGATCATTTAAGTTCTCAGTACACTCTAAGGGTTATGGGTACGAGGATGAGTAAATATAAATAAATTTTTATATTTATAATTGTGTTTTATCAAATTTTTTATATGAGACTTGAATGAAAAATTTACTTTAATCTAATAATAATGTGATTTAATTAAAATGTTAATTATGTTAATAGCTGATAAAATTGTTAAAAAGAAAAAAAAAAGTTTTGATACAAGATAGAATTTAACCGACATTAACTTGAATTTAAAAAGGGGAGGTTTGGATTTAAAAAATTAACTTGAATAAAATATTGTGTCGAATCAATAAGTGGCATTTTTCAAAATATTTTTCAAATGAAGTATTAAGTTTAAATATTTTTAAATAAAAAATAAGCGTTAGAAGAGTTACTTATTTAAATGAGTTTATTTAACTTAACTCAAATTAATGAAATTCAATATAACTCCCCGATAATAATGATCTTGGACCAGAAAACAAATTGCATCAACTGGTCACATTAAACTTAACACGGTCCTAACACTAATTATAATAATATTTTCTTTAATTAATTTTATTTTTTAAAACAAAAGTTATTTTATAATTTTTATGTAGAGTTTATTTTTTTTCTTCTAATATGACAGTTAAAACAATTATTATTTCAAAATTCATTTTCTATCTTCTCTCTATTTATTGCATAAACAATTTTTTTAATTATAATAGAAAAATGTATATAATAGAAAAATTGTAACACTTGTAATGAAAATAAATAAATTAAATTCATTTTTTAATTCATGTATCATACCCTTAAATAACTATATTTTAAGACAGGAGTATCAATAAAAACTAAATACGTATAATTTGAAATTTTAATGTATTCTTTGTACAAACAAGCTTTTATATAAGCATTAAAAAAATATTATCAGCCAAAAATTGATAATATATTTAATAAAGAGGGAAATTCTCTAAAGTAATGCATGTATTTATTGTAATAAAATGATATTTAAAAAACTCAAATAAAATATAAAAACTAAATTATAATATAATATATATACGTAATCATAACAAAATTATTTATTTAAAATTTTAATTATAGTTTTATATATAGTTATGATGTAAATGTTTATTTTATATATATATATATATATATATATATATATATATTGCATGCGTTTAACTTTTTTTTTAAATTGTTATTTTAATTTTTATTGTGTGATTTTAGATAAAAGCTTACTACTTTATCTTCGAAAAATAGACATTTAAGGTTGTGATAATAAAACTGTAAAATACATTTAATTATCTTATTTTGATTAAAAGTGTTATGAAATTTCTTATTTTATCAATTTTAAAATTTGTTTATGCAATAAATGAATAGAGGGAAGACAGAAAATAAATTTTAAAATAAAAATTATCTTAAAGATAATATTAAAAGAAAAAAATAAATTATACCTTAAAATTATAAAATTACTATTATTCTGGGAAACACGAAATTAACTAAAGAAACTATTTTTTAGAGACACGGAGAGTGTCATATAGATGTTTTATTGTATGTTCTTAGACACATGTTAAAAAAATTTAATTGTATAAATATATTGGGCTTAAATACGTTTTTAGCATTTATATTTTAATAATATTTTTAGTCCTTTTTAAATAATTTCTTTATTTTAGTTATTTTATTTTAAAAAACGATTATTTTTAATCTCTTTAACTGATATGATCAAGCTAACTAATAACATTCAGTAATAATACTTGTAAAAAAAATTACACGGAATAAAATAAAAAATTATTAAAATATAAGAATAAAAAGTATAATTAACTCAGTATATTTTAATTTTTCTAAGCAGCAACGATTTAAAAAAAAAAAAAAGTGCGCACAGGGAAGCGGTGCTTGAAAGTTACATGAATTAATGAAAAATTTATTACAAAGCAAATAAAACAAATGTATATGGCAATGGATCATTAATGAGGGGAAGGGCATATGATGTCACTCAAATAATGCATATGTTCAAACTCAGTCACTACTGAAGACATTTCATTTCGGAGATTCTCTATCAAACCCTAAATTTGCTGTGTCCATTCTCAGGTGCTTCAATTTTGATGCAAATCTTCATAGCTTGTTTTTTTATATTGAATTTGGGATTTTCTAATTTGTCTATAGTTGTTGAAGTAATCTAGATTTGATTTTGTAATTCTTGTGTTGATTTTTTTTAGGGTTTTCAAGAGCTTTATTGAAAATGAGTTATAGTGAGATTTCTCATCAGTCTTACTTCATTCCTGGATCTGAATTCTCCACCACCAATGACGATGACGTTAAAGGTGAATCGTTCTTTATCCCTCGATCATTTTTATGTGAAGTTTTACAATTATTTATAAGTAAAAAACATGATATTTTTTCCTTCTGATTTTTTTAATACAAAATTTTTTCCTTGTTGTTTGAATTTGATTCGCCATGAAAATTACAACATTATGCAATAATAGTCAAAGATCCTGATTTGGTAAACTTATACGGAAGTTTTTATAGAAGAATAAAATTAATATAAAGAATAAATAAAATTTCTTTTATTTTAATTTAAAAAAATTTATTTATTTTTATATTATTATTTTTTCATTTACGAGAACTTATCTAAATTAAATATTTTTTATAAAGTTTTTTTATAGAAATTTACTCAAGATCAAAGTTTGCTACTTGTGAATAGGTTATTTTTCTTTTTCTTTTTTGAGGGAGGGGCTGGCTATTAATTAATCAAATGTTTAAAAACTGTCTCCTAACCTTAATTTCTCACGTGTCCAATCAATCCCTTTTAAGTTATGTCTTTCTCACAAGCTTCTCTTTAACAAATTTGTAATTGATTGCTGCATCTAATGATTTCTAATAGTTTATTTTGCAATTCATTAATTGTTTGCAAAACTAATTATTGTTTTAAAATTTTACATTTTTCATATTGTTTAATTAATTGGCATCGAAATTAGTAAGTGTTTTTGACTATAGACGAATCTATAAAAAGATTGACCCACTTGTAATTAATTTACTAATTGTAAGGGTAAATTATGGCTATAACCCTAAACTCTAAACGCGGAACATAAGATTATTTTGAGAAAATAAATTATATCCTTAATTATTATTAAGTGCTTGTATTAAATTAGTGTAAAATTGTCTCAATATATTGTTGCA